AGAATAATGCCCCTATTACAAATCATAGAGCTGTCACATTTATATAAAAAATAATAGTTTCATTATGACAGCAATTCAAGCAATCCATACAAGATGCTATGGATGGTGGCTAGAAGAGGCTTATTTCTAATGGCTGTGGGGGATTTCCTATTCAGGAGGAAAAAATGGTGTGCTTTGAAGGAGAGGAAAAAAAATACATGTAAAGATGAATGAAGGGAGATACTCAGCATCCTCCACTGTGTTGTCAAGGTCAATTGGTAACCAGGAAGCAGCCTGGCTGTCTGTCCAATTAGCAACAACCAGGAAGGAACACTTTCCTTCTTAGACCTGTGACCCCTAAAGCTGTGCTGCTGCAGAGATGACAGGGGCGGTTCTGAAACGATGACAGGCATTAGCATTTTTCTGCAGTTAGCGTTAGTGCAGGGCTGTAAGTGCATGCAAGTATGTGTGTATGTGTGCATGTCTTTGTGTGTGCGCATCCATGCAATATTCTTTCAGCTGTGTTCATAGATAGGCCTTAATATGAGATTAGCCAGTGGTGGAATTCAACTCCGGTCCTTCCTTCAAAATGGCCGACAGGAAGGAAGCTGCCTCAGACAGGGTCGCAGCCCCACCCATTTCTGAAGGGGACCTTGAGTTGAACGCTTTTTCTCTCTCATTAAATCCAGAAAGAGAAAGACAGAAGAATCACTGACATTGCTTTGTCTTTCTTAGTCCACCAAATCCAGAGTGACTGAGGAGATTCCCAATAAAGCTGAACTTTATTACTGTATGTCTCATTTATAGAGAAGAAAGAAAAAACCTCAAAGCTCATTCGGAGCTTCTGGCAAATTCTGTCAGTTTAATATCTTCAGTGATATTATTGTTCGGTATCAGAAGCACAATGCCAGATTTATCTTTTAGACATGTTTCAAACTTCTGAACGTAAAACGAATAAATCAAATAGTTAAAAAAGAACAACAAAGATTTAGGTTTTTACCTGAAGTGACTTTGGTCCCAGGACCTTTACTTTAGGTGGACTCAGACCAGCTGGTCGAGACGGCCTTGTAGTGACACTGACCCAGGGCCCTGTATGTCAGATGTGATTAAAGGTCTTATTTGCCATTTTTTTAACCCACCAAGAAGTTTGTTTTTCACTCTTACCTGAAGCTTTTCCAGCCTGATTCTGGAGCACAAGTCGATACTGGTAAGTAGTCCAGGGACTGAGGGCTGATGAGGAGTCCAGGAAGGAAAGAGGGGGAGGATCTGGCAGGAGATGCCCTACTGTTGAGACTTGTGTGGTCCCAGCAAGCCTGCGCTCTATCAACCAGCTATAATCAACACAAATTACATAAAAACATCTACTCACATTTATATTCAGAAGATATCAAAAAGAGGGAGTGAAGTGAAATGTGAGTGCCTCCCACCGTTCTAGTGGTCCGTTACTTTGTTCTGGTGCCCCCCAGGATAAGAGAACAGATGTGGGTGTGTCAGAGTACAGGTGAGGTGCGGGAACCCCTTCAGGGGGAGCTGCAAGGGTTTGAAAATGCTGAGACATCTCAGACACTGAACAGCCCACACTCGTGCATGCTTCCACCTGGATAAAAGAAAACAAGCGTTCTGTGACTGATGCATGTTTTGTCCCCCTCGGATCATTCAGACGACACATGGAGGCCGTGCAGTGGGGTCAAAGAGAGCCTGCCTCTGAGCCGCCAAGGGACGTAGTGTCAGAGCCGGAAAAGAGACTTGGCGGATCAGTAATGATAATAAACTGGTGACATTAGTCAGCGACCACTCCGCTTCCAGGATTAAATAAACAGATTTATTATCAAGGTAATATTGAAGATGCATGGCACAGCAACTTTGGAGTTAGTTTTAAAAACTATTGAACGACAAAGAGGATCGTTAAAGTAAGTTAATTCAGTTTGATCTGTAATGGATACGAGGCAGACATAAGTCACACATTAAAGGGATCCCCGATTAGTTGTAACATTAGACTTTATTTGATAAAATATATTTTAACTGTAAAATAAAGACTGTAAAAATACTGTAGGCTGTTTAGTTTTGTACATTTTTAAAAATATATTTTAACACGGATGGAGTCGTTTTATTTATATGCAAAGCATTCTGGGTAAATGATGACGTGGATAGTCATCAATACGAGGCTGCTAGCGAGCTATATCCACCCTGAAGATTAATCTTGGACAATATCTGATGATCGACTCTTTTAAATGAAACCAGAGAGCGTTGACAGAG